AGAAACCACCACCCCCCCCCCCCCCCACACACTTATACCAGCCAGCAGTTTTCCTCTTCAAGCTGCGTTTTACTCAGAGCTCCAGGTGGTGAGTACTGCACGTCAACGTTTCGCCTGTAAAAATATAATTATTTTACGTATAAAGCAGCAGACTTCGTGGTTCAGGTGTCGTGTTGGGTTCACGGACTGCCTCAGCCTCGGAAAAAAATAATTGGAAAGCAATTCAGCGACACTGTTGCACTTAGCTTGCGTCGTGTTCTTTGTTGGATACTAAACACGTTTTAATATGAAGGTGAAGGAAATAAAGGATTGTGTGACGTTGTTAACCCCTCAAAATTCAAAAGTCGTTTATTTTAATGGCTAAAAATGCTCGCCATTGGACTGTTATGACGCAAAAGCGCTGTTTTTGAGACTGTCTTTTGTTCTGAGACTCTTCTTCCTGTTGTTGGTTACCACAGACGAACAATGTGCTCCGCTGTCTTTGTTTTCACGATGCACACTTCTATGAGCTGTTTCTGTTTACCTGTTCAGCCTCACTTCATGTCGCTCCTGTGTACCCCCACACGGGGCTTTTATTCGTCTTTTTTGTTGTTTTCACATATTACACGACAGTTAAAATGATAGTTTGACCAGTTGTGAATGAAGCAGAAGGATGAGACAAAAAAGTCTTAATTGACGACTATCAACTACTAACTGCACGTTAAGGTCAGCTTTTTAACCATTTTGAGCAAATTAATTAAAAAATAAAATTTGTTTTTCCGCTTTTTAAAAATTAATTTGAAATGAGCAGACGATTAACAGGATGTCTGCTTTTTAATCAAAATAATTTATTCAATATAATTAAAATCTAATTGTCAATTTACATTTGAAATAAAAATTGAAAATACATTTAAAATAAAAAAGTTTTATTACATGTTGTTTACTAGATGAAAAGTAAGTTAGTGGGAAAAAAAAACTAAACTAGTTGTACTCCTGGTGTTGTTATTGTAATATTTGAAGTAAAATTCTGAATGCAAAACCAAGTCAAAATGTAAAAAAACCCAACAAAACACAGTACTGTACCCTAATTTGTCATCTGTTATAAACATTTCTGAACATTACCACAACAAAAGAGGGGGAGGGAACAGTGTATGTGTGTATCTCTTTATGTATGTGTGTGGAGAGGCAATGTACTGTACATGACCAGTGTTAATTTTACCAATGCTGATGATGTATTATGACACACTTTTCAGTCGTCTGTGTGTCAGTGTTCCTTTAAAGAATAAGAATGGACCAAACGCTGGTTCTTCTTAGTCAAGCAGAACATTTGTATCTCTGTCTTTGGTTGGAGGATATTCAATGACAAGTACAGATTTGTATTTGTAAAGGTGTGTGTCTGTGTGTTTGTGGAGCAGTCACGCTTTACATCACCACGGTGACTTCCTGTTGAGTTGCGGAAGCTCCTTTGTTTTCATGTCTCGCTGATAGTTTCTGTGCTGCTGCTGCTGTTCTTCCTGTTGCTGTGAGGAGACTCAGGTCCAGAGAAAGTCCAGCTCCAAACCCGAACACTCTATTCTTAGACTTCTGGTGACGGGCAGCTCCAGTTCACAGAGCACAACTGGAAACTTGCAGAGCTGCTGTGGGTCAGTGGCTTTGTTTTCTTTTGTTTGCACTCTGTTTTAGTGGAGATCCTTTGTCATGCGCTGTTGTCAGTGATGGTGACCGTCGACACTCTGGGAGATGCTGTACTAGACAGACCGTACTTATGTTATTAAGAGAAAGATGGTTGATTGACAAACTAGAAGCTTTTATTTTTTTCTGAATTTCTACAGCATTTTTCTTGAAATATAAAAATATTTTTTGACAATTTGATGTTAATGAGCACAACGCTTTTTTTTCTTAAGTTGTAGTGGATATTTCCACCATAGGAATGAGACATCGTGAATCCGCTTCATTTTAAGCATTACAACAATATGCAAAACAGCGGCCACTAGCGAGTAAAAGCAGTACTGCGTGTCATATTCCACTTCAACTGTTGCCCCCCTCCGCTCTGAGACTGAAGGCTATTGTGATTTGGCAAGAAGACAGAAACAAAAACTACAGTCATTCCCAGTGTTACACAGCTGAAAGCGGTGTAATGTAGAGGTTAAAGCACCGACGTGAATGCACACAACTGTGTTTTTAAAGTTCTAGATGTCAAAACTATTTGGTTCAGTCTGGAGAATTTGCGTGGCGCTTTGGCCCAGAGGCAATGTCTCTGTCATTGGTGTGGAACACCAGGGTTCACCTCCTGGGCAAGATCGAATCCTGGTTAGGGTGGTTGGTACCTTCCAGTGGACTCACAACCTGCAGCCAGTTTCATGATGGGCTGGTACGGTGCAGTGTGATTTGGGTGGCGGTCATGGAGACTGCTGCCCTGCGACCCGGTAACGGATAAGCGGATGAAAATGGATGGATGGATGGATGGAGAATCTGCGACAAGAGATCATGAGTGAATGTGTGTGTTTAAGTCAGTGTCACAGCCGCAGACAATTATCACAGATACACAACTATGTGACCAGAAGACACAAAGGGTGTTGTATTACCATTAATAGACTGTGTGGTGTAAAAAAATAAATGAGCAGAGTCAAGTTCTATTTGTTTAAGAGCTATATTGTTTATCAACCTGAAATATTGTATTTTTCAATTTCTTATCAAGAAAATTGAAAAAAATACAATAGCATAATTTCTTTACAGTTTTATTGACTGGGATTCAGCTAAAGAAAACTTTATTTTTCCATGGGGTAATTACTGAAAGTGACAGCTAACTTTTTTTTAATCTAAAATGTTTTTATATAAATTACAAACTATAAACAAACTATATAACTATAAACTATAATATAAAATATTAAATAAATATAAATCAAATTTTTTATGGAGCATCAACATAGTGATAAGAAAGTGTAAATCTACAGAATTACACAACAGAATGTTTGGGTGCCTGAGTTTTGGCGACAGCCTCTGCAGGTCAGTAGTGGTACTGTATTCACTGAACCAAAGTGAATCTCATTTTTGGTCCTTACAGTAAGTAGCAGCAGTGACAGACACTGTTTACTGAGAAAGGAGAAGATGTCTCTGCTGTCTAACTTGATTCAACAGAAGCAACAAGATCTCAGAGCACACCCTCGTTATTTGACTGTCATTTGCCTGTGGCTGTTGAAGTCGACAGACACATCACTTAAGTACACACGTGGACAAAATTGTTGGTACCCCTCAGTTAAAGAAGGGAAAACCCACAATTCTCACTGAAATCACTTGAAACTTACAAAAGTAACAATAAATAAAAATTTATTGAAAATTAAATAATCAAAATTAGCCATTACTTTTGAATTGTTGATTAACATAATTATTTAAAAAACCAAACTAATGAAATAGGGCTGGACAAAATTGATGGTACCCATAACTTAATATTTTGTTGCACAACCTTTTGAGGCAATCACTGCAATTAAACGATTTCTGTATTTGTCAATGAGCATTCTGCAGCTGTCAACAGGTATTTTGGCCCACTCCTCATGAGCAAACTGCTCCAGTTGTCTCAGGTTTGATGGGTGTCTTCTCCAAATGGCATGTTTCAGCTCCTTCCACAGATGTTCAATGGGATTCAGATCTGGGCTCATGGAAGGCCACTTTAGAATAGTCCAACGCTTTTCTCTCAGCCATTCTTGGGTGTTTTTGGCTGTGTGTTTTGGATCGTTGTCCTGTTGGAAGACCCATGACCTGCGACTGAGACCAAGCTTTCTGACACTAGGCAGCACATTTCTCTCCAGAATGCCTTGATAGTCTTCAGATTTCATTTTACCTTGCACACATTCAAGACACCCTGTGCCAGATGCAGCAAAACAGCCCCAAAACATTCCTGAGCCTCCTCCATGTTTCACCGTAGGGACAGTGTTCTTTTCTTCGTATGCTTGGTTTTTGAGTCTATGAACATAGAGTTGATGTGCCTTACCAAAAAGCTCCAGTTTGGTCTCATCTGTCCAAAGGACATCCTCCCAGAAGCTTTGTGGCTTGTCAACATGCATTTTTGCAAATTCCAGTCTCGCTTTTTTATGATTTTTTTTCAGCAGTGGTGTCCTCCTTGGTCGTCTCCCATGAAGTCCACTTTGGCTCAAACAACGACGAATGGTGCGATCTGACACTGATGTACCTTGGCCTTGGAGTTCACCTTTAATTTCTTTGGAGGTTGTTCTGGGCTCTTTGGATACAATTCGAACGATCCGTCTCTTCAATTTGTCATCAATTTTCCTCTTGCGGCCACGTCCAGGGAGGTTGGCTACTGTCCCATGGGTCTTGAACTTCTGAATAATATGAGGCACTGTTGTCACAGGAACTTCAAGCTGTTTAGAGATGGTCTTATAGCCTTTACCTTTAAGATGTTTGTCTATAATTTTTTTTCGTATGTCCTGGGACAATTCTCTCCTTCGCTTTCTGTTGTCCATGTTCAGTGTGGTACACACCTTTTCACCAAACAGCAGAGTGACTACTTGTCTACCTTTAAATAGGCAGACTGACTGATTATGAGTTTGGAAACACCTGTGATGTCAATTGAAGGACACACCTGAGTTAATCATGTCACTCTGGTCAAATAGTTTTCAATCTTTTATAGAGGTACCATCATTTTTGTCCAGGCCTGTTTCATTAGTTTGTTTTTTTAAATAATTATGTTAATCAACAATTCAAAAGTGATGGCTGATTTTGATTAATTTTTTAATTTTCAATAATTTTTTATTTATTGTTACTTTTGTAAGTTTCAAGTGATTTCAGTGAGAATTGTGGGTTTTCCCTTCTTTAACTGAGGGGTACCAACAATTTTGTCCACGTGTGTAATAGCTTGGATTAAAATCATTAGAGAAACTGAAGAATCTCATAAAATAAAATGGTATTAAAAACAACTTGATGATATAACTTGGTTTCATTCCTTTAGGAGAAAGCTGAACAAGCCAACCATTCATTCTCTAAAGGGTTTGTGATGTACCATAAACACACTGACTAAAGTCGACAGACACATCACTTAAGTAAACATAGCAAAACAACTATGTAATGATAACACCTCACTATCAAGTCTTTGGACCTGCTCCAGCCAAACACTGATCCAAACTTACAGTAAATGTTGATCTGTAGCGTTAGAAGGACTTGTTTAAGCAGTAAGCGAATACTTTTTTATTTCTGTTAAAATTTTCAATAATTTAATAAAGCGATACCTGGTGGAGTGAGTGGTCAGCAAGCTTGCCTTATAGCTAGAACATTACTGGTTTGGTCCCTGGTCTTTCTTGATGAAGTTTCAATGAGTTTATATGTTTATATTCATACCTGTTGGTGTTTCACAGCTGATCTTGAAGTAAAAATATGAAAGTCTGTATGTACAGTGAATGTAAAGTATTGTTAACTGTACTGTGTCTTGTATTGTCCATTTTAACATGAATGTCCTTCATTTCACACCTTATGGATTTTCATGTTGCAGTGGAGTTTAAAAGTTTAAATTTCCGACAGTGGATGAACCTGAGGCTGTAATCTGACATGCACTTTGTTTATGTAAAAGTAAATGTTAAGTAACTGTTTAGTGTGTCACTATCTGTAATCCTGGAGTTCAGGGAGTCCAGCGACGCGGCTCAAGTTATGGTCCTGGACGTCCATTACACCATGAAGTCTGATGTAAAAATCAAACTAAGGCCTTTAAATAAATGAGATGGTGACTTTATTTTTCTGTAGGCTTATTTTTAACCAAATTTTCTGGCAGGCTGCAGTCACACATTGGTGCTTGACCACAAATAAGTTATTGATTTTCATCCATTTTGAGTAAAGTGCTTAAAAAGTTAGTACAAAAGAAGTAAAAGAAGTGTCGTAAGAAGTTCTCAGAAAATACAGAGGAAGAGTATTTTATGTGGAACACGTGATTAAATCTGTTTTTTAGATTTATTATTGTTCTTATCTAAGGTGACTTAGAACCTTATCAAATCACACCAGAGGTATTTCCAGCGGTGCAGTGTGAAGCATGAGGGCAACTATGAAGGGCAGGTGGAGTCTGAAAGGATCGGTGCCTGGTCCAAATAACCAGAGACAGAGTTGCTTGTACATTAAATCACTGCTTAAAATATGTTTAGGCCCTGGACATGTTTTGGAAGAATGTTCTGTCAAGTTCCTCCTCTGACTCAGTGTAGGGAGATGTTGCCAATTCTGGCAAAGCAACCAGGGAGAGACCTTCATCCAGAGATGCTTAGCACAACATCCAATGGAAATGCCTTCTTATTTGGATGTGCCCTGTGATTGGTCCATCCTTCCTATCACAGGCAGGGTTTCCCAAAATATCCTGAACTTTGTTTCCAGAAATATCGTGAACATTTATGATGTTCTTGATGTATGTATTTTCTAGTGTGGCTGTGTATAAAATCTGAAAATATCAATTTTTTGTATTTTTTTTTATTTTATTTATTCGAATTTATTTTATATATTTATGTTTAATTATAATTGTATTTTTTGTTTATTTATTTATTTATTTATTTTCATCTATCCATCCATCCATTTTCAGCCGCTTATCCGTTACCGGGTCGCAGAGGCAGCAGTCGCCACTCAAATCACACTGCACCGTACCAACCCCCCCGCACCTTCCTGCGGGTGCTGAGTCCACTGGAAGGTACCAACCGCCCTAATCTTGCCCAGGAGGTGAATCCTGGGGTTCCACACCAATGACAGAGACATTTCTTCTGGGCCAAAGCGCCACTTATTGTTTTCAATTTTGTTCATTTTTTTTTTAAATTTTTCAACTCTTCATCTGATAATAAAGATGAGTGTCACTCCCCACGTTTACCTGTCGTTCACAGACTCAATTTTCTCCCGTGGTGTCTGTGTGGAGCCTGCCACACACCCACTCCACAACAACGACGGCTTTGGCTTGCATCTTCCAGTGTTTCTTCTGTCAGCAAGTCCAGCAGAGCTGCAACTCTTCCAGTGCCAGCCCTGACACCAGCGAGGAGCCCTGCCCCATTGACATGGTGAAGATGACCAAGTCTAAGACCTTCCAGGCTTACCTGCCAAGCTGCCATCGCACCTACAGCTGCATCCACTGCCGGGCACACCTGGCCAATCACGACGAGCTCATCTCAAAGGTACGACACTGTTAGGTTTATTCTAACATATGTGACGACAAAGTAACAACACAAAAGACGTCTGGATCTTTTACTTGCAAGGGGAGAGTGCAGCTTGCTCTGCTGGCAGCTTCCTCTTCAACTCCAAGTTGCTGCACCCTTCCTCTGCTCTTTTATTTAGTTTACAAAAGTATCAGATTAATTATCATGTGATCGTGTGTGAGTATGTGAATGGGTATGGAGTAAGAAGGTGGGTGTGAATGTGGGTGTGGCTGTGTCTGGTAATTTCTCCATCAGTCTTGAGCACACTAGATTATAATATGAGAAGCAAACAGTTTCTTAAAGTGACAGTACAGCATGAAGCAATGATAATAAATTAAATTCTTCCAACAGACACGCCCTACAACTAGTCACTTTGTTCTTCCTGCCGAGGCTAATTTAAATACCATCCCATAATCTCAGGTCTTTTGTCAGGTCAGGTACATTATTTCCCAAGTGTAATTTCTGTGTGGACCTATCACAGGCCAGCCAGTCAAAACAGTTGAATTTATAGATTATATAAAAGTTTAAATCCCAAAAAGATGGATAAAATAAGTCCAACAACAACAACAGTGGCAAACAGCCAGTCAGCCTACCAGAAACTAGGGAAAAAAGTCAAAGCATACCTGAAAGTTAGCCTTGAATTAGCTGTTTGATAGCCAAAACATAAGGCAAAAATACATTTGGTGAAGATTTTTGAAAGGAGGTCGAACGTGTCGCAGAAATGTATGAAAATGAGCCGAAATTTGGACAAAAGTTTATTATATTACAATCCAAAAATATCAAGAGTCTGAACAAAATATTTGTAGGAATTATTTTAACTAGTTGTTATACCATCTTCTTTTTCTTTCGGCTTTGTCCCTTTTTCAGGGGTTGCCACAGCAAATCATTGATTTCCATCTCTCCCTGTTCTCTGTATCTTATACTCTGACTCCAACTATCTGCATGTCCTCCCTCACTACATCCATATATCTCCTCTTTGGCCTTCCTCTCTTTCTCCTACCTGGTAGCTCCATCTCTAACATTCTTCTACCGATGTATCCACTGTCCCTCCTCTGCACATGTCCAAACCATCTCAATCTGGCTTCTCTAGCTTTTTCTCCAAACCTTCCTGTCTGTGTTGTCCCTCTAATGACCTCATTCCTGATCCTGTCCATTCTTGTCACTCCTAAAGAGAATCTTAGCATCTTTAACTCTGCCACCTCCAGCTCCGCCTCCTGTCTTCTGCCTATTGCTACTGTCTCTAAACCATACATCATGGCTGGTCTCACCACTGTCCTGTAAACCTTTCCCTTCACCTTAGCTGACACTCTTCTGTCACAGATCACTCCTGACACTTTTCTCCAGCT